ATTTATTTATTTATTTATTAAATTTATAGGCCGCCCATCTCCCCCAGAGGATTACTCTGAGCGGCTCACAACTAAAATCAAACATTAAAAACAGTAAAGATATAAATATCCATAATAAATTCGCTAAAAAAATAATACTATATAAAAGACTATATACCTGTCTTGTTTACAGCTTCTTTCCCTGTATCAGAATTGGGCAAACTTGGTCTTCATTTTCTTCTTGTTCCTTGCCTAGAAACCATTAGAGGAGGCTAAGTGACGATATCACCAGAATGGGCAGGGCTGAAAAATATGTCTATTTTTGCATGTGAATTAAGGGCACCTTAACTTTCTCAGTTGTAAAGGTGGCATTACTGTATCACCAGATTGGTACAAAATTTGGTAGTAATACACAATTAGTCTTTCTTTCTGGACAAAAATGTTTTGAAGAAATTAGGAAAATCTCCCTACACTTTTTTTTACAATTAACCTAGGTTTTGGTTTATTGTCCAAATTTCTAATGTGTGTAAAATTGATACAACATAAGACATTGATTCAATTTCTATAGCTAGCTGCTAGGAGTATGGTTGTGCAATACGGGCATGTTTTTTTTATTAAAATCACAGTTTTTTAAAATATAGGAAAATGCTTTGGCTGAAAAATGATCACAACTATAATTAGAACACTTTATTGGCCAAGTATGAAACGTACAAGAAAAACTCTCGTATTAAATTTATCCAGATCTGGTTACTGTTTATTATTAGTTATAATATTAATGTTATTTCCTGTTAGATAACTTACAGCAGTACAATTGTCATTCTGAGTAGATTTATTGAACTGGACAGAAATAGAAAAATATGCATACCAATATTGGACTTCCCCTTTCTTTCCCTTTCCTTTTTTTCCTTTTGGCTGCATAGTTTAATTTTAGTTTCTGTCTTGATATTTTGTTTTCTCAGCAGCAAAAGCAAACGAGAGAGAAAGAAAAGTGTATTTCCCACTCGTGACCTGGGTGGCACGCACGAATAAAAACACATAACTAAACAATCACCCTAATTAAAACAAAACCATTAAAAAACAGTTTAAACAGTTCAAAAAACTATAATAACAAAAAGACGTAAAGCCAGGGGAGAGTGCATTCTAAACTCACACACAATACAACTATTTAACGGGCTCTATGTATCCATGGGATCCCCAGGCCCAATGGCCAAACTAAGTTTTAAGGCCAACAAGGTTGGGGCCAATCTCACCTCAGGGGGAATAGTATTCCACAGGGCAGGGGCCACAGCAGAAAAGGCTGTCTTCCTGGGTCCCACCATACGAAGCTCCTTGGCCGATGGGACCCACAACATGGCCCTTCTGCTGGACCTGATGGGACAGGTAGATGTACCCGGGGAGAGGGGGATCTCTCAGATAACCTGGCTCCATGCCATGTAGGGCTTTAAAGGTCATAACCAACACCTTGAATTGGACCCGGAAGCAGACTGGCACCCAATGCAGTTTGTGAATCAAAGGTGTAACATGTGCAGTTCTAAAAGCACACATAACTGCCTGCAACACCGCATTTTGCACCAGCTGAAGCTTCCAGATACTCTTCAAGGGCAGCCCCACGTAGAGTGCTTTACAATAATCCATTTGGGAGGGGACCAGGGCATGTGTGACTGAGAGTAGAGCCTCCCAATCCAGGAACGGGCGCAACTGGTGCACAACACAAAGTTGCACAAAGGCTCTCCTGGCTCTTCCCTGGCTCACTGGGGATGAAGAGGGAGGGGAAGAAGAGCCCAGTCAGGTTTGCAAGATGCTGCTTCTGTAGTTCTAGTCTTCCTGCTGGGCCCGCTTCCTGATCTGGTCTACTTCGTAGGGCTGACCCATGTAAAGAAGGTTGTTGTTTTTTTCTGGTTCTCAACGTCTTCCCAATCAGCTTGGTTGGGATGACCCCGGTCCTAGTGTTACCTCTAATGTTTAATGCAGAGTTCTTTGCCCCTACCTTGTCTCTTCGTACAGATTTTGGCCCAGCCCTTAAGACTCAGAATGTGAATGAGTTTCACTCCTATATCGATTCCCTGACTGTTGACGGAGGTGATGATTGCCCAGAAATGTCACTGAGTGGTTTGAAGTTGGCTTTGAAAGAGAGCTTACCAAGGTAATGACTAAATCAGAATGAATGGCCTTTTCTCCTCTAAGCCATCGTCACATGGCATCACACTACCCAGGAGACACCTCTTCCAAATAAAAAGTTCATGAGATTTCAGCATTCTTGCCTTGAAGTCTCACAGGAGGTTTGGCAATTTTGTAAAGATTTCAGTGATTCAGTTTAAACAAATGTCATAATTGGGATGTGGGCTGATGTCCTGGCTCCTTTATGGCACAATCTCAAGGCTCTACCTTATCTTGTTGATGTTATTGTAAAGAACTGCTCCAGACCTGCTACCTTTAACTACTGGATCAGGGCATCTGCAGTAAGCTGAGTTTTCTTCAAAATGAGAAAACACGTGTGGTGATGTCATGACACAAGCTGGATGTACTTGCATGCAGCGTTTGATGCAAGTCCTAAAAGGGGGGAGTTTGCATTGTGATGTCACAATGCACATTTCATCATTTCCCCTCTTGTCCCATCCCACCCCATGGATGCCCATGTGAACACAGAAGACCTATTGTTTTCCTTTCCCTATTTCTGATATAGTCTCACTCTGGTTCATTGGGCAACATTATAACACATATCCCTCATCAGTTCTTCACTGATGTCTTTGCCACAGAAAAGTACACTCACTTTTTCCCCTGCACAACATACTCCTTGACCGAAAATTCAGTGTAAAATCCCTTCCATCTTCTCTAGATCCCAAATCTACAGCTTTACCGATGCTGATGCTAAAGATGAATTCCTGAAGGATGAAATCAAACTTCTGGATGACATTACTGGGTCCACGACACACTTCATTCTCACAGGGTCGTGTTCTTCAAAGAAGCGCCGAGGTATGTACCTCAGTATGATCTGATCAAGAGAACTTTAATAGGGAATGAGAGAAATGAGAGAATAATTCTCCAAATACCAAGAAAGATGTTTTATTTTCTGAAAAAATATTCCTATATCATTTGTTTTCATGTGGCCTCAGAATGCAGTTTAGATCTCAATAAGGGTGCTTGAAAAATGCACTCTTTGCAAATTCCATACAGAACATACTGACTTCAGTAACGGCTCCTTGTCAGATTTTATCTATCTATCAAACTTCCATACTGCTGAATCTTTTAGACTCACGGCGGGCCAACTGGCTTTCCCATTCCCAAAATTTGAGAAACAGTCCTCAGCCCCAAATACATATCTGAATGCATTTAAAAATTAACATGTTTTCCCAATATCTATTCGTTTTTATCTGTATAATTGTAACCTCTAATAAAAATTATTATAAAAAATAATTCACATTTTGAATGAAAATGCATATTCCAGCTCCAGAAATGCATCTCTATCAGGCAGGCAATCATAACCAATCTTTTATTGAACATTCCCTGAAGTATCTAAACATCCACAACATTTCCATTGTATCAAAACAAAACTAGTTTCCCAATTTTTAAAACAACCAGGTTTGCACATTCAAGCTTGTTACTCTAGAGGTTGCATAAAGATTTCATCCACTTCAGTCAACTTCTTAGGAAACTAGGTTACCAGGTTGGAAACTTCAGTTAATTCTTTCAAGCTATTCAACATCTATTATTCTGAAAGCAACAGTAGCATCAGGAGGGATGAAAAAGTCCAAATAACAAATATTTGGATAAGAATATTCTATATCATAAGAAGGGTTCTGTTGGATGAGACTGGAGGCCTGTCTAATTCAGTATCCAAATTTCTGCATTAGCCAAGATGCCCCCAGGAAACCTCCAAGTGTAGGAGTCATAACTTTTTCCCCGTTAACTCCCCCACAGAGCTATATTCCCCCTAATTCTGGAGGTCATGTAGCTATGACTACCAGTGAGTCAATATTAAAAGTTAACCAAAACCAAAACAAAATCTGAAGCCAAGCTAAGGCAAGCTTGCAAGGACTTCTCAGAAAGGTCCTCCACACATAGCATTTAATTATTTTCTTGATTTCATGGAAGTCAATCCTCTTTGGGGCAACATAATTTCCAGTAGTATCTGTCCACCCAAAAAGATCCATGGGCTTCTCCATGTTCCCTCACTCAGCGATTGCTATCTGCAGGGATCATGGAAGCATGGCCTTCTCAGTCACTGCTCCTTTGGAACAGCATCCTGCCAGACATCTGAATGGCCCCCTCATTCGTGACTTTTGGAAAATCTGTAAAAACATGTCTATTCCTGCAGGTCTCTAGGGCTGGAATGTTCTCTCTTGAGAAACATTGTTCTCAACTTGGGAAATTGACTGTTGTATGAAAATGAAATCTGAGCCCTCAACTCAGTTCTTCTGGCAAGTCCATGAAGTTTTCTTGGCAACATTTTCAAAATTGGCTTGCCAGTTCCTTCTTCCAAAGGCTGAGAAAGAATAGCTGGCCCCAAGTTTCCCAACCGGCTTCATGCCTAAGGCAGGACTAGAACACCTTAACCACTACACAAACTGGCTCTCATAGTTTATATATTGTTCTTCTGGGTTGGGATTGTTATTAACCAGGTTTTTATGATAATCTGTTTTTAATCTGAGTTACAAAGGTGGGATTTGTATGCCACGTAGAATCATCTTCAACTAGCATGCCTTATAAGCCTTGGTCAAATATATAAAACTAAATTAAATAAAAATGAATCGATAAATAGCTGGAATAGGAACAAAGGGGCACTTGACTTGACTCTATTTGCCTTTCTTTGGGTAAACCCAGGAGAAGCCAGTTAAAAGAATAAATCTGTATTTAATTTTTACAGCACTTGCTAAAAGGAATACTAGAGCTTCTAGAAGAAATTATGAGAACGTCTATGAAGAATTAGCATTCTTTTCTGGTGGCTACTATGTGAAGACTACCAAAGACCAACTTTCTACAGTCCTTGGCATAATGGAGTTGTCCATGAATGCTGCTCCTGTTAAAATAGCCCATGATTATGTAGATGAGTCTCAGTTCTCCTTCCCTGTGGATGAATCTCTCTCCGAAATATCAATCTCATTCAAGACGTTCAGGCATAACAGTTTCCGCTTTAATATCTTTCAGCCTTCAGGTAACTAAACAGAGTAAAAAAGTGAGTATCCTCAGCAGCATCTGCAGTTAGGGTCAAAAAAAGGCATGACAGCAGCTGCAACTGTGTGAGCAAACCCCCACCTCTGTCTGCCGTGCGACATGTTAAAAAAGGGGCGGGGCTTCAATTGCACAGTTGTGGATGCCCTGACTGTGATACTCAGGGGAAGCCGTAATACTGGGTATTTCAAGCTCTGCGACTGATGCAATTCACTCCTTTTTGTGACATTCCATGATAGGTGACCCACTGACAAAACCTCACATGGTGATTGACAGAAACAATCACAAGGTCGTGAAGATATCTCCTATCCCTCAGCAAGGTCGGTGGACTGTGTCTATGACTCCCAGCAGCTCTTATGAGGTGGAGATTAAAGGCAAGAGTTTGCTTGACTTTACTTACCAGATAATGCAGAAGCAGAATGACTACATGATTCCAATCCAAGGACGACCTGTGAAAGGTAAGCTTTCTGGAGTGTCCTGTTGCTACACTGGGGTCAAATCCTCCATTACCAACATCCATGCTAAAAAAAAAAAAAGTCAGGCAAAGGTTTTAAGTGCTAAGAAAAATCCATTTCAGAAGAAAGAAGTGTTGAGGAAGAGATGGGATTCTGGAGGGAGCGCTCTGCTAATTTTCTACATCTTTCCCAGGTTCCAACTATACCATCTCCGTGAAGATCCTGGGACCATCCAGAGGTGCCCAGATCCAGCGCCTGGTTATTTCCGATGGACTACGAGGTCCTAATCACTCCATCAGTTTAAACCAAACATCTGATGCCCTTGGCAATATCTTGGCCTTTGCCCCTATTCATCTGGATTCATTGGTAAGATCCATAGTTATTTCTTCATCTTCTGGTTTGACTCCATGTTGCATAACTGGCTAGAACTCCCATAATAACCACTGGGGGAATCTGCAAGCTTTCCAATGGGAGCCATTTTGTGAGGGCACCCTCCGCTTGCCCCCCACATGCCAAACATACCCACTGAACCATAAAGGGGGGGGGTTAGCCTTTGCACTTTAATTTTATCAAGCCAGCAGAATCACTCTGCTCTAGTCTTGAAGACCTGGTTGCTCACTCACGCTCAGCCACCAACGCTCTTCGGAGCCAATCCGGGGGTCATAGATCTGGAAGGCCTTTTGGCCTGGACCTCAAGTTCATTCGGGGGAGGGGGTGCCAATATTTATTTATACGCTCATTTCTACTGGCTTTTGCCTGCTTCCCATTGAAAGTGAACCCCAAATGGGGTACAAAAACAGCAAAACTATACAAGATTTACAAAGTTTAAAAGGATCAAAGCAGACCAGGACCTCTACCTTTAACCAGGGTAAAATGAATGAGAAGCCATTCCTGATTACCATAGTATCCTTTCGTCACACCTCATCTTTTGTGAGAATATGAGCCAGTATGAGGTAAGGAGGAAGGTGCTGGACTAGGAGTGGGGAGATCCAGCTTCTAGCCCCCTGCAGTCACAGAGGTTCCCTGGGGGACTTTGAGCCAGTCAAATACCATAAATAAATAATCAGCCAAAGAAATGCAATGACAATGTAAAAGATCACCATTTAAAAAAAAAAAAAAAAAGGCCAGATTGCTCCAATTAAAACTACTCATACAAAGGATTAAGATAAATGCTCAAAAAGGAAAAAGGAAAAAAAAAGCAGAGTCAAGGCTTCCTTCTGTAACCAGCTATTACAAACTGCAAAAATGACTACAGCTATTAATTTCTTAAGCCTTTAGAGGACTCGATTTATCTTTATTTAAAAGGCAGCTTCTCGGCATCTGTGCATCTGCCCGGAACAGCAGAATAATCTCCTCTCTTTTCAGGATGCAAGAGACAGTCAATGTAAAACCCATTAACTCCCATTTTACCTTCCAGTCTCCAATGCTGAAAGTAGAAGGTCTGTCTCCTGGCCGCCTGCCTTTCTCACGTCTCAACATAAATCCCATCCATGTGGAGTTAGTGCGGATTCTGCCCCCGGCAGACCAAAACAGTAAGTCCCATTGTGATCCTCCTGAGACGACCAGATCTGCCTGCAAAAATCAAACGTCCACCAGATGGCAGCAAAGAGGTACAGAAAACAAATATAGCATTTGCTGCCATCTAATGGTCATCTGAATGTTTGCAGTCCAGATCTAGCAGACCTACCTCTTCGCCTCCATTGAGACCTACCTCTACCTACTTCCCTTCAGGATCCATAGACCCACTAAGAATGTTGAAACATAAGCCAAGGTCTACAGCAATGTTTGTCAAACTTGGCAACTTTAAGACAAGTGGACTTCAACTCCCAGAATTCCCCAGCAGAATTCTGGGAGTTGAAGTCCACATGTCTTGAAGTTGCCAAGTTTGACAAACACTGGTCTACAGCTTGAGGGCTCCAGAGCAACACGTGGGCCTCAAAATGTCAATCCATAGTAAATACGTAGTTATAATCTGATCTGACATTTAGAGGAAATGAAACCAACTTTAGTTTCTACTCTAGCACCATCCAACTTCTTACTCTTAGTTCCATCTATTTTGCAGACTTGATGTGCTGCTCCAAGATGGCCTCAGCCCAAAAACAGTTGCAAGCTTACATTTTAGTGGAATATAATCCACTTGATTAGATGCTCGGACTTTTACCCCACGGTGGGATGCGAGGAATTATAAAAATTGAGTTCAGAAAGAAATTAAATGCAAGAAGTAGACAAGGGTGATGAATTAGTAGGTAGTGATCATTCAGAAGTTTGACACTGGCAGTGAATGGGCATTGCTGAGCAACTACAGCTAAAACAGCAGCTGCAGATTTCCAGTAATAATTTATGCAGCCGCATCTGCTTAGGTCATATTTTACGAAGAGGCAGTAAAAAAACGCTGGCCAGCCTCACCTGGAGGTTCCCATCTACAGCAAGGAAGCATCAATAGAGGGAAGGGAGGAGAAGGAAACCAGAGAGAATGGAAGAGGCGAGAATAGAAAATGAGTCGGAGCAAATTCTTATCCCAGAAAAAAATGGGAGGGGTCTTTAAAAAAATTAAAAACAGGAGCAATTTTCTCAATTTTACCATTCAAGGCAGACAAAACTGTTGGTATAAATGCAACACCTGCAGACCCCAGGATACCCATATCTGTTTGCCTTGCTATTCAGTGACCAACCAGCCCACTTTCTCTTTCCATCTCCTTTCTTAGCAGTTATTTAAACAGAATGAAAAAGGAAGTCGACACGCTGTAAAACACATTCCCGGCCTCTAGAATCTGCTTTATTTACAATAGTGTTTCAGCTCCATAGAGTCTCCATAGAGTCCCGGTCAGTCTTGGAAAATTAAAAATTGCAGGTGCAGTTAGGTCGCAAAGGTGCCTGTCTTCTCAGAAAAACAAACTAAAGTAAGGGGCAGGAGGATGGAGAGGATCTTGAAGGGGCGTAGAACTTGGGAGGGGTTGCCTTCTAATAAATGAATTTGGCTTTTGAGAAATGCCTGCTGATAGCTGGTTGTTTTGAGACTGACCACTCCCCCCCATAGCAGCCATGTGGGGACTAGGATATTCCCTCCCCCATGATAACCATTGTCTTTGAGTGGCACCAAGTGTGAGGACCAGCAAGTTCAATGGAGCCACTGGCACCAAGTGTTGAAGACCACCATTATATTACAACTCAGTCACCTTTAATTGCAAGTTATCCCTCAAGGACTCCCCATCTGTGATATGCCATATGTTTCTAAGGTACATTGCTGCCCGGTGGGAACCTAGAGGTCTCTGTCCAGGTGGTGAATGATGGAGCAGCTGATAAATTCACTTTTAAAGTCTGGGATGTCCTGGGCTTCACACAGAGCTTTACACCAGAACATCTTTCTCTGGCGAAAGGAGAGAGCACCATTCTCACTGCATCCTTTGTGGCACCTGCAGACAGCCCCAGCTTTGCCTCAAGGTAGGACAGCAGTACCAAAATTTTAGAAATCAAGGCACTAGGAGATCCAGGACAGTCATGAGAATTTAAACTGGAGTCCAGTGCCAGGATTTGGAGGTGAACATTTCAAGAGTTTTGCTATTTGGGAGTAATTCTAAACCCATACTAGGATTGGAACCAGGTTGGAGGTGGCTTCTTCACATGTTTTCCAAAAGGTCCATCTTTGGGGCTGTAACAAGGCTGAATACAAGATTTTGTTGGCTTTCTAATGAGACCTTCAAGGTCTCCTTAGAGTAACACTCTAAAAGAAAGTGTTACTCTACCACCTCAGAAAGAAACATGCACGTTCTCTGTAAACAATTGCACTGTTACGCTTATTTGTTTGTATCCCTACTCCCTTCTGGGTCTCATGATTTTTCCTCCATTTTATCCTTGCCCTACCTCTGTCAAGTAAATGTGGCTGAAAAATTGAGGGCCCTTCCCCACTGCTGACACGGAGGCCTCCCCATCCACCCTCAAACCAGCATAGGACTATATCAACATGAGATTTCATGTCCCCATTCCTGATTCAGTTCTAACTGCCTCAGTTCTAATTACTGCCAATAATCTACATTCCATCACACCTACCTCCCCTCCAGAGTAATGGGTAACAAAGCCTAACAGATTTGACATACTTTGGGGCTCCCCTTAGATGGTGTCAAAAGAAGGAGAGGAAAAGCTACTTTTATACCAATACAGCTCAGTGTGACTCAAGACTGGCTCACACACGGGCTGGGGATGAGACGAGGGCAACATCATGGTGACGTGGCACGAGAAAGATGATGCCATGGCATTTCTGTCCTGTGGTTAGGTGCAAGTGGAAAGGCCCTAGGATTTGCCCAAAGTCACCCAGTGAACTTCATAGCTAAGTGGGGATTTGGACCATGGTCTTCCCTAGCTAAATCCAATATCAACATAAAGTAGTGTTACTCAACCTCAGCAACTTTAAGATGTGCGGACTTCAACTCCCAGAATTCCCCAGCCAGCATGCTGGCTGGGGAATTCTGG